AGAGAAGAGGACAACAAACGAGGGGCTGTGACAAACTGTTTCGTCGGAGTTTCACCGACTCATCAGGAGGCTGAACCCTATATATATATATGTGAAACTCCGACGAAACAGTTTGTCACAGCCCCTCGTTTGTTGTCCTCTTCTCCCTCTCTGCCTACGGTTTACCGGGCAGTTCTATTTGACGATATATATATATATATATTTTTTCAGTAGCTCACATGAATTTTGTTACTATTTGCATGTTTAGTCAGGCGAAAAAGAAAAGGGTCTCAAGAACTCGAGTTCAAAATTTGACCGAGCTAAAGGCAAAAGAGTGATCAGAATCCAGAAAGGTCAAAAGGCAAAAAAGAAAGTGTCATGAAAACTTGAGTCCAAAAAACTTTGACTGAGCTATGAGCCAAAGACTAGTAAGAATCCAGAAAGGCCAAGATTAGCCAAAAAGCATGACCCGTAAATGATGATAAGGGGTAATTGCAGAAATACTAAAATTTAGTAAAATAGCATTTTTTTTTCCCCAGTTTCCCAGCAGAAATGTTGTCGGGGTCTGAAAGATGTATTTTGGCAACGGAAGTGGGACCCCGCCTGCAATTACTTTTGCTGTGAACCTACCAGGACCTGTAGAGCCGCAACGAAAGATGTAATTTTGCAACGACACTCGGGACCCCGCCACTATTTTTGCTTTGATTTTTTTACCGCGACGGCGGCGATGCGCTATTTTTGAAACTTACCCTTGATGATAATTGCGGTTTGATTTTTTGCAGCGGTTGACTGACTGCCATGCATAAGTCCAAAAAATCTACCATGGCAACAGTATAAGCAACTGCGGAGATTTCGTGCAGAAAAAATCTTCAGAGACAACAAATCAAATACGGAAAAACGTCTTATTCTAGAAGTCATGAAGCAAAAGAATTAAAAAATTATTCAGAATACCCAAAAGCCTGGAATTCAAATGCAGTGAAGCGAAAACGGCAGCAACGTTCATAACCGTATTAAGCGATCTTCGAACATTTTGCAAGGACTCCGAAAAGAACTCCATTTTCTTCCCTTTCTTGGTGCTCCCGAAAATACCCCGAACACTAGCGCACATAGGACACATGCCCACTGGAACAAATGCCAGGTATATTGGACAACATTCACTAATAGTGTTTCCAGACCATTCTGCAGGGCAATCAATGCTGGCAGGTCCCACAGCTACTCACAGTCATTGGTTCCAGTTTTGCTGTAAAACAGGACGCTGGACCCGATTTCCAGCAGGTGACGCTCCCCACCAATAGATGGAGCCTCTCCTCCGGTGGTAGTGCTGTCTGCTCTTATCAGCAGCACTTGCACTGGAAGGGGTGCTTGTTTAAAAAAAAAAAAAAAAAAAAAAAAAAAAAAAAAAAAAACGTACGTTCAACGTTGTATTCGGGTGAAGAAGGTAGTTCACCTTCCAAGAGAGGACAACAGCTCGGCGGCCATTGCAATAGATAAAAAGGGCCCAGAGGACAACAGCTTGCCTGCCGCTGCGACAGCCATGAAGGGCTCACAGCACTGAGATGAAGAAAGATTGCACATGAGGGATCATGTAAGGGTGGAACATAATTAGCTGCCCTGCTTGTCTAATGGTGTGGATAAGCATTTATGGGTGAGAACCAATGATTGGCATGCAGATTTTCAGTGTGGAAAACCCTGAAGATGTCTAGTCGAGTTTGAAGGCAGTCTCTGTTTTTTTGGAGGCTGGAGGTATGCAGTGGAGCTTTAGAGGAGGAAGAGTACAGCCATAGCCGGGCACTTCAGTTGGGAGGGGTGAGGGCGAGTCTCGCCATTAACGGCCGTTCACCAAGAGATACAGAATGCCTTATCCTGCAATCATTGGCCCAGATGATATAGGGATGTCGTTTGGCAGAACATAAAAGCGAAAACGAAAAAAGAAAGACAGGGAAGGGGAGATAGGAGATGATCACCCCGCCCCGTGTACCCTGTGCAGGGCCCCAATAGTGCTGTCCTTTCCACCAACAATCCCTGCAACATACCCAACAGTGCAGGAGGCTGACCAATATCTGAGTGTAAAACAAAAAGCCAGGAAAACCCTTTTTTTTTTCTGAAGACCTTTTTCTATCAATCAGGGCTCCTTTGTGTTCGTGTGAGCCCAGATCATCTGGCGCTTGGCGTTTTATCCTGCTCTTTGCTAAGGTCAATTTTGCAGCCCTAACCATTTTGGGTACTTTTCCCAGTCATTGAGGCCGTAAAAGCATGGTGTAAAAGCATGGCAGCCTCCAGGGCTCGGCCTACTTGACCAAAATGGTTGGGGGGGGGGAGGCAAAACTTAACAAAAAATGTGCCCACACCAGTTAGTTTTTTTTTTTTTTCCGGGGTGTAGCATAAACCCACGTCAGAAAAAAGAGGCCTCAACGTACTGATGGTCCAAAACCACCGTCACTTCAGCTACTGCCTTCTAGCAAACCATAAACACGCCGTGAGCTTTGAAGGTCATGGGGCATGGATGGATTTCACCGCTCTGCAGAAGCGGTGGCGACCCCCGAAGATCGTCACATGCTTATGCAAAAAGTAGAAACCATATGACTAATAATACCAAATCCAGGAAGAACTATAAAATAACATTATTTTGGCTCACTGGAAGGGAAGAGCCTGGTAGAGCACACCGCTGCTCTCGCGACGGAAAGCAATGGCGCCTTATATTATCTCTCTACATACTAAAGCAAGCAAAGGGTCTGGCGACATGGTCGGTCGCGGGCCCAACGGAAACCGCTTGGGACACCGCGGTCGGGAGGAGGTGTCGACCGTGGCGGGGGTCAGGGAAAAGCGAAGTGGGCAAGGGGCGGAGGGCCGAGCCGACGCGGGGGAACCGGCCCAGGGTCGAGCGGGCGGGGAAAGTAGCGGGCAGGGAAAAGCAAAGTGGGCAAGGGGCGGAGGGCCGAGACGACGCGGGCGAGTGCGAGAGTGCGGTAGTGCGGTGCGGTGTGTGAGTGCAACTGCGTTTTCTTTTTTTTTGCCCGTAGCGTTGGGCGCGGGGGCCAAACTAGCTTATCGGAGCGTTGCTTTGCGGGGATCAACGGTGGCCGTCTCAGAGAGAGAGAGAGAGAGAGAGAGAGAGAGAGAGAGAGAGAGAGAGAGAGAGAGAGAGAGAG